CAAATTCTTCTGCTAATTGGGGTTTAGTCCAATTCTGTATCCTTCCCTTCAAGGCTCAGGGGTCCACGATTATCTTCTGTGTCTGTGTTAGTTGGTTTCCCTTTTCTTTGTTGAAGAGGGTCTGTGCAATCCTTCTGTAAGGCATCCTTTTTGACCCACAATAAAAGGCAATGTCCTCATCATATTCTGTAAGGTCTTCAAGATCTCTGTTACCTCCTAATCTTTCTGACCACAATTTATCACTTTCCCTCTCAGTCTCTCTACTCCAGCCTCAACTTGCCCCCTATAGGTCCTATAACATACCAAGCACATTTCTAACTCACAACCTTTGTTCTTCCTATGCCCTGTAATAGCAAGGTATCATTTTGTCTTCCTCTCTAACTTCCCTCAGGACGTTGCTCAAATGTTCCCTTACCATTTGTTTTTCCTAAACACCTTACATAAACAGCAATGTCCCATGTCCTGCACTGGCATTCCCTATCTCTCTTACATTGCTTTCTTTTTATCCTTCTTCAGTATTTATTGTCTTTTACTATAGTCAATAATTATTCATTTGTTACTGAAATTACTGCACCTCTCTACTCTGTTTCTACATTGTAATAATGGGCATAATAATATTTTGTACCTTATAGAATTGTTGTAAAGATTAAATAAAATAATTGATATGAAGACTTCAGAATAGTGCTTTCTACATAGTTGGCTTCAGTAAATACTGACTAAATGTATCATCATTTACATTTTTTCACAGGTAACTCTGATAGAATGCCCATATCCTAAATAAAAATCTCCTACTCTTTTTCAGTAGAACTTTTGTAGGGAATATTTGCTTATCATTTTTCTGTAAAGAGGAAAATAAAACACTTAAGACTTCAGCTTACTTCATTATGAGTGGACTAGTGAAGGACAAAATATCAGCAACTACTTTGAATAAAGCAACTTGAATCAGGACAAACTTGAAGTTGCTCCAGAGTGCTGAGAGTAATGATGGGTTCCCGGTATGTGCTTCTTTATAGGAAGAGGCCTATATGATAAAGAAAAGAAAAACAATGAGAAAAGTGGACATAACCAAGATGAGCAAAAAATGAAAGAAATTATATGTAAACAAGCCATAAAATTAGTAATGTGCTCTATACTATAAGGTAACAAGAAAGGAAAAACAAATCAGTTAAACTTGAAAATAGGGCCCTGTTCTGGTTACCTAGTGCCACTCTGACAAGAAAATACCATGAATGGGATGACCTTAACAAACAGAAGTTTATTCTTACAATTTGGAGGCTTTACGTCCAAGTTCAAAGTGCCAGGCTCTAGGGGCTGGGTCAAAGCCCCTCAACCTTGGGGTCCAGCTCTGCCTCCTGCTCCCAGCCCACTGAAGCTGGAGGCATTTCTTCACTTAGACAGCTGCTGGCTGCTGAGGCTGAGAAGCCCCAAGGTTGAGAAGTAAAAGGCACAGTCCCAATGTTACCAAACCACACGGCAGGCCATTAACTCAAGTCCATTGGCAGAGGTTGGCAGAGCATAGCAGGCTGCTGAGCAATGACACGGTTGCATGCAGGGTCCAAGCGTGCCAAAGGCTAGAGACCATTCCCAAAGGCTTCTCATTATATACAGGAAGCAGACCACATACCCAAAGGCAGCTACCCAGCTGCTTGTGGTAGATCCCATCATGGAGTTGATTGCTAGTCTCCTCATGGGAGCTGCCCAGCCACTCACCCAGGCCCATCCAAGTGGACACACAAACCAAACTAGCACAGACCCACATCACTGGTTTGGTGTTATGTCCAGGCTATTTTGTGTTACTGATACTACATGGCCTTACTAGAGCAAGAGCCATAGTTATATTTTATCACTTTTTAAATTTTGGAACTGTTATTATAAAAAAGAAATGAGATACAGCATATATTTTGAAACTATAAATAAGGATAGATAGGTAGGTAGGTAAATAGACAGACATAGGTAGAGATGTAATATTTAACACTGAAGGAAAGCTGAATAACTCAGTTGTAGAAATTAGCTATAACAACAACTATTTTTGCTTATGAAAATGGCTTGTTATTGCATATATTTTAGGGATGTTCTATATTAATAACATCTCTATTTGGAAAAGCCGTATCTAGTACTAAAGGAAAAACCAAACTCATTGCCATTGAGTAGCATGATACTCACAGCAACTCCCACTGAGTTCCAAGGTTGTAAATCTTTATGGAAGCAGATTTCCTCATCTTTTATAGAGCAGCTGGGGGTTCAAATGCTTTTATTGGTTAGCAGCCAAATGCTTTATTAAGTAGCAATTACTTTGATTTCAGTAATTAATTACCTTTACCTTTTGCCTCTCTTGATTCCTTAAAACTTCCTTTCTCCAATGTTTTTCAAAAATGGGACACACAGTGTAGGAGGAATCACTTTCGTTTAGTTCACAAAGATCCTCTCTTTCCAAAGGTTTATTATAACCTAAAATAATTATTCTAAAAATAAAAGAGTAATGTAAACAACTTAGCAAAACCAACAACACAGTTACAAATAATTTTTGTATGCATTTATTTCATTCCTTGATTTAGAAATTATTTGATTGACCAGGATAAAATGAATAGATTTTGTGTTTGAACTACTACCCAATTTTACCCTGGAGTTCAATAATGTGCAATAATCATTTGCAATTCTTAGAAAGCCTGTTTGGGCATCTAATCATTTAATGAAATACTTACTTTATTTACTCATATCATATTTTGGGTATGTACCACCCACCTTCACAATCTCCCTCACTGAAATTTAAAGAAACTTCCATGATGACCTACAACCCATATTTGACTTTAGGTTTGTATCAAAAAAGAAATGATGCACACTTTGTATCTGCAACTTTTCCTGTTCCATGTGACTTTATCTTTGGCCACTTGACTTTAGAGATCATCCTACTACATGTGGGCTATCTATCCTTGCTCCATAAACTTTGGCCTTGACCATATGAGTTACTTTCACCAATAGAACATTAGCCAATGTAACAGTGCCTTTTGCAAGCTGGATGCCTTAAGGAATGTGGCAAGTTTCTACTAGCCTCTTACAGCCTCTCTTCTCTTCCATTCAAAGAGCTTGTGCTAGAGGACTTTATGAATGCAAGAAAAATGAGTCTAAACTGGTACTAAAAGACAAACTAAGAGATAAGTCACTCTCCTCATACTAGATAAGTTAAAGTAACAAACAACGCACTGTGCTTACCCCACAGCCATCTCCCTGCCATCGCCTTCTTCCTGCTAATAGAATCTTATCTACAGGAGCTCTCTGGTGGTGTAGTGCCTAAGACATCAGACTGCTAAACAGAAGGCTGGCAGTTCAAACCCAGAATCTTATCTATTCACTCAAAAATCCCTTGCACACAAGAAGGCCCCTACCCTAGCCACAGAGTTAAGGATTATGATTGTTCTAAATCAGCCTTGGTAATCTCATTTCCCTTTCCTTGGAATTGATAATATAACTAAATTCTGGTAATGATATCTGAAATAAAACTGCTGGAGATAACATTATTTTTCAATTGAAAGTACATAACTCTAAGAGGAGAAATATTTCTCTTCTCCCTTTTCCTTCCACTTCTACTTTCTTCCTGCCTGAATTGAGGACATGATACCCTGAGATACAGAATTTATCTTTGCCTCCATGGGTGAAGAGCCAAATAATAGCAACGGGGAACTGGAAGATAGAAAGAAGCCTGACTTCTTCATCACATTTTTGAGGCAGTTCTCCTGCTGATTTCTAGTCTTCTTCCCAATATATAAGAAAATAAATACATACTTATTTGCAGTATTATTATTTGGCTATTCTATTACGTGAAGTGAAACACAATCCAGATATACTTAGCTTATGAGTATGCTTATACGACTTGTTCAGTAGAAAATTAAATCCATATTTAAACTAGGCCTACTGACTCTATAGCCTCACTTCTTACCACTACAAACTATATCAGCCCAACAGACCAAATCATAGCATTACACCACTCCACACTGGGACTGCTTTCATGGACACTGGACCTGAATTATCTCAATTGGCTGACTCTGGAATGGAGTTTAGCCTTATGGTAACCAGTCTCCACTGGATTCAATTTTACTTTTATTGTATCATATCATTCCACAATTCACATTTCACAAAAAGGCTTACATGTAGTAAGAAAGGACTTTTAATAATCATGTTTCTGTTGGTTCAGTCATGCTGCACATTTTCCTACAGTGCACTCTTAAAAATACATTAAGCAACAAACTACTTTCATGTCATATTAAATCCCTCTTGCATTCCATAAAATAAATATTCATTTTCAAAATAAGATGGCACTGATTTTCAAAGAAGCATTTTTAATAACATTTACTGCCTCAGCATTTCAAGTTAGAGCTGTGTAAAACTCAGCAGTTTTGGTTCACAGGGAGAAGTGACCCCTGGCTTTCATGCTGAGTCTCCAAATAATACAGCATCTGAAAGTGACACTGAAGCTGAATTCATTGTGATTCACATGGCTTTGGTATTTAACTACTGTGATTCTTCTTTTCCCAGGTGTGCTCCCTTCCCATCTTTTCTCTCTTTGGCCAATATAAATTTCCATCACATTGACTGGTCTTCCCATTCCACATGAGAGTCTGGAAAAAGATAAAGTGGTGCTTTTTTTAAATAAAATATTAAGAAAGCTTTTGGGGGAAGCAACCTGAAGCAACTGTTGACCTTACCAATGAGTGCAATGTAACAGGTCCTATAAATTGCCAGACTTTATTCCTAAAGCAACAATGAGATTTATGTACGTATCTCTTCAGAATGACTCATACATGTATCTTCAGGATTTTCAGAATGATATTTCTTTTCAAAAGATATGTACTTATATTAATCTGATCCTCCCAATCCTCTAAGGTAGGTAAAACAGATACTAATTCCCCATTTTGTTTGCTGTTATTTGACTTTGAGTCAGCTCCAACTCATAGTAACCTTACATATAACAGAATAAAACAGTGCTTGGTCTTGAGATATTTTCATGACCGTTGGTATGTTTGAGTCTATTATTTTAAATATCATGGGTCCCAGTAACTCTAGACATTGGTCAGACTTCTAAAATGTGACATAAAATAGTGGTCACTTAAACAAGGGGAGCTTTGGGAGCTTTAGGAGATCTGGTGGCATAGTGCCTAAGGCATCTGACTGCTAACCAGAAGGCTGGAGGTTCAAACCCACCAGTCACTCCTCAGAAGGAAGACTGGGCAATCTACTTCCATAGAGATACCGCCTCAGAAACCCAAGAAGGGGTCGCTATGAGCCAGAATCAACTACACAGCAGTGAGTTTGGTTTTTAGTTTTAATCAAAGGCAGACAGTACCTTTAAATCTAATAATTCTACTGTGTTTTTAATTTTGTTATCTTAGGATTTTTAGTACATTTAATGTTAGTAATTATACATAAATATCTCATCCAACTAATATGGTGAGAGTAACAAGAAAGTGGAACTTGCCTAGGAGGACAAACTCTGACCTTAGAAAAGGCAACACAAATATCATATCAAATGTAAATTTTATAGAAAAGTAATTTTTGAATCCTTGGCAATTATGGATATATAATACTATTATCAATTTTGTTACTATTAATCACCTTTGTAAACATTTCCAGAAAGGGGTAATTGTGTTATGGGAAAAAGAATGAAGTCAGTCTGTCCCAAAATCAAAGGATGGAACAAATTAATATTAAATTAAGTTTTATTAACATGTGAGGAAAAGGTATGACATATTAAATACTGTATCTACAGTAAAGATAATGTTTCAACTGTGACCTATAAACAAATTTACCTAGACTTTTTCATTTATGCCAAGGGGATTACTCTATGACCATGGTTATTATATAATGATAATATAATGATAACTAATAAAGGCTTGGTTGTTATCTTATAGGGAGCTCTGGTGGTGTGATGGTTAAGCATTCCGCTGCTACCAATAATACTGGTGGTTCAAACCCACCAGCTGCTCTAAGGGAGAAAGATGTGGCAGTCTGCTTTTGTAAAGATTTCAGTCTCAGAAACCCTGTGAGGCAATTCTACTCTGTCCAACAGGGCTCTGAATTGGAATCCGCACAACAAAAATGGGTAATTACTTTATAATCAAAAAGCTTGACAGCTACTGTCTTAGGAATTAAGGCTTGTAAGTTTTTATTTTCCTAATTATTTGTGTCATATGAGCACATTTTAGTTGAATTATTATATGATTATGGACACTTGAATTTGCCCTTAGAAATAATTTCTGATTTTATTCTGAAACTGGAAGAACAGATCTGAGAGCACAATCATCCACTGTCTTCAAAAGGACATCTGTTAACAATAGTTATGTTTCAACTGCAATTGTTTAATCATCAGATAAGAAATCAAATTAAATTCATGCCAATAACAGTTCCAGGAGGCAGCTTTTATAATAATTTTCTATCTAGTTTTGAGATGTTAAATTTGAAATCAAAATAAATGTGATACTCAGCAAAATATGATTTGTTGGTTGTTTTGATTGTTTTAAGATATGGATTTTAAGATACTAAGTTCTTACACTTTTAAATTTGTATGCTTTATCTTGCTTATTAAATTTTGTTTCTTACTTTAAGCCCCCATATGGTGTTTAAGTATCTAATATATATCTATATACTTCTGTAGTGTTATTATCATAATATTAAAATTACATTTCTTTTAAATTAATTATTTGCATTATTTAAATTCTATGATATCTCGAAACTTTACAATGATATTCTGAAATTTTTAAAACCAGAGATGATATCACACGTTCTCTCAATTAGTGGATAAAATAGAATCCAGGTTTAAAAAAATAGATCTCTATCTATCTATCTATCTATCTATATATATATATTATTTCAAAAAAATCAAAATTACTATTTGTTAAATAGCCTACATTTATATGATTTCTATCTAACCATTATTTTTTCTGTAATGTGTAACTTAATATTCCATACTGATGTAAATTTTTTTAATGTTTTTATTGTGATTTAAGTAAAAGTTTACAGAGTAAATTGGTTTTCTATTCAACAATTCACACACATTTTATTTTGTGACATTGATTGTAGTCTTCACAATGTAACAGCACCCTTCCCAATTCATCCCTGTGTTTACCATTTCCATTAGTCCTTCTTTCCTATTCCTTTCTGCGTTCTCAGCTTTATCCCTGGGCAAATGCTGCCCTTTTGATCTCCTATGGTTGACTGCTCTAAGGAATGCATTCCTCCCCAGGGTTATTGTTCAACTAATAGGCCTATCCTTTGGCTGGAAGTTGAGCCACAGGGATGAACTCAGTTCCAGGCTTGAAGGGTGACTAAGGGCCATAGTTTCAGGGTTCCACCCACCTCTATCAGACTAGTAAGCCTGATCTTTTTTATGATTTTGAGTTTTGTTCCACATTTTTCTCCCATTCTATCTGGGACATTCTACTGTGATCCCTTTCACAGTGGTAGGCAGTAG